GAACAATCTAGATTAATACAACTTAATTTCAGTAGTATACAAAACTTTGCTACTATATAGCTTAATTTCCTTTCTCTTCCTTAATCTTCATTCCTCTCCCCTTTGTTATTGTCTTACAAATTACATCTTTACACACAATATTCCTGTCAAACAATTTTTGGGATTGAACCCGGGGACATTTTACCACTAAGCTACATCCTCAGTCCATTGTATTTTAAAATTTTGAGACAGGGCCTCACTAAGTGGCTGAGGCTGGCCTCACACTTGCAATCCTTCTGCCTCAGTCTCCTGAATTGCTGGGATTATAGATGTGTACCAATAGGCCTGGCAAGAAAGATTTATAATTGTTATTTTATGCAGATGTATTTTAAATCAAATAGGAAAAAAATATTTAAAATAAAATTGTATTCTTTTATATTTACTTATTTAGTTACCTTTATCAGATGTTCTTTATTTTATTTTTTTTTAGAGAGAGAGAGAGAATTTTTTAATATTTTTTTTTTTTTTAGTTTTCGGCAGACACAACATCTTTGTTTGTACGTGGTGCTGAGGATCCAACCCCGGGATGCACGCATGCCAGGTGAGCACGCTACCGCTTAAGCCACATTCCCAGCCCCATATTCTTTTAAATTTTTAAAATTTGTTCTTTTTTGCCATTATACATGAGCTCTCTTATTATTATTTTTTTGTATTACAGTTCTCATGACACACAGTACAGTGTGTTTTTTAGTTTGTTCTTTTTAGATACACAAGAAAGTATTTTAATACATTATACATACGTGGAGTATAATTTCCCACTCTATGGTTGTACATGATGTGGAGTTATACTGGTGTGTATGCATATATGAACATAGGAAAGTTCATTCTACTCTTTCCTATTCCCATCCCCTTGCCCTTCCCTTCATTCTCCTTTGTCTAACCCAGTGAACTTCTATTGTTCCTCCTCCCCCATTATGTGTTAGCATCCACATATCAGATAAAACATTTGGCTTTTGATTTTTGGTATTGACTTATTTCACTTAGCATGAGTCTCCAGTTCCATCCATTTACCTGCAAATGCCATAATTCCATTCTTCTTTATGGGTAATATTCTTTAATGTGTGTGTATATATATATATATATATATATATATTTAGTTGTAGTTGGACATAATATCTTTATTTTAATTTTTATGTGGTGCTGAAGATTGAACCCAGGGCCTCCTCACACATGCTAGGCAAGCGCTCTAGCTGCTGAGCCGCAATCCCAACCCTCGGGTGAGTAATATTCTATTGTGTATATAAAACACATTTTCCTTATCCATCATCTGTTGAAGGGCACCTAGGTTGGTTCCATAGCTTAGCTACTCTGAATTGAGATGCTGTTAACATTGATGTGCCTCCATCACTGTAGTATGCTGATTTGAAGTCCTTTGGATATAAACCAAGGAGTGCAATAACTGGGTCATATGGTGTTTCCATTCCAAATTTTCTGAGGAATCTCCATCCTGCTTTCCAGAGTGATTGCCCCAATGTGCATTCCCACCATCAATGTGCGAGTGTACCTTTCCCCCGCATCCTTGCCAACACTTACTTATATTCTTGATAATTGGCATTCTGATTGGAGTGAGATAAAATCTCAGTGTAGTTTTAACTTGCATTTAATTGTGAAAGATGTTGAACATTTTTTCATATATTTGTTGGCTGATCGTATTTCTTCTTCTGTGAAGTGCCTGTTCAGTTCCTTTGCCCATTTACTGATTGGGTTAAGATGTTCTTTATTCTTTCATGTAGATTTCAATTACTGTCTAAAGTCTTTCCATTTTGGCTTAAAGGACTCTCTGTAGTATTTCTTGGAGGGAAGATTTCCTTGTGACAAATTCTTTCTGTTTATACAAATACTTTGGGAATAATTTTCTTCATTTTTGAAGTATAATACTGCTGGAGCTAGAATTCTTTTTTTGGTATCTGGGATTGCATTCAAGGGTACTTGACCACTGAGCCACATCCCCATCCCTATTTTGTACTTTATTTAGAGACAGGGTCTCACTGAGTTCCTTAGCGCCTCCCTGTTGCTGAGGCTGGCGTTGAACTCCTGATTCTCTTTTCTCAGTCTCCTTGAGCTGCTGGGATTACAGGTGTGCACCACTGCGCCTGGCTAGAATTCTTGGTCTATCCCTCCCCAGCATTTTTATTGAGTCATTCCATTGTCTTCTGGCTTTAACAGCTTCTGCTTCAAATCTTATTGGGGATTATATGGTGAGTAGATTCTCTTATACCACTTATAAGATTCTCTTTGCTTTTAACTTTTTTCTTTTTTGTGGTGCTGGGGATTGAACCACTCTACCAACTGAGCTATAACCCTAGCCCCTTAACTTTCAACTTTTAACAGGTTGATTATAATGTGTCTAGGCCGGATATCTTTGTGTTTATCCTACTTGGCATTTATTTGGCTTCTTGGATGTGAAGATTAACGGTTTTCATCAAATTTAGGGAGTTTTGACCCCATGTGGTGGTGCATAGTTGGGATGCTAAGGCAAGAAGATCTAAAGTTTGAGGCTAGCCCAAAAAATGTAGTGAGGTCCATTCTTTAAAACAAAGGAAGTTTTGGGGCCATTATTCCTTCAAGTATTATGTGTGCCCCATCTCTTTTTCTTCTCCTTCTGAGTTTCTCATTGTGCTTGTTCCTCAGTTAGAAAATCTCAACCAACCCAGATTAAAATTTGCTAATTCTTGCATAATTGCTAACAACTGTATAACTGTTCCAGGTTTTTTAAAAGTAATTTCTCATTATTATTATTGGTGAAACATCTTTCTCATACTTTCTTTAGACATGGTCTCTATTAGCTTTGTAAACATATTTAAAATATCTGATTTAAAGTCACTTTTTTTCTCTCTCTTGTGGTAGTAGGGATTGAACCCAGGGCCTCACATATGCTAGGCAAGAATTCTACCCCTCAGCCACATCTCCTTTGAGATTTAGGCTTAATCTAATAAATCCAACATGTAGGCTTCCTCAGGGATAGTTTTATCATTGATGTTTTTTTTTTCTTGGTACCATACTTTTACTTAATTTGAAAATTTGACATTTTAAATAATATAATGTGATAAATCTGGAAATCACCACAGGGTTTGCTGTGGTCTTGCTTGTTACAGTAGTTGGTTTAGTGACTATTTTGAACTCACGTTTTAGAAGTTTGTATTCTTTATTATGTGTGACTACCGAATACTTTGCATAGTTAGTTTAGTGGTCAGTTAATGACTGGACAGAGGTTTTCCTAAATATTTTCAAATCAGTAGGTCTCCTAGTTTTTGTTTAGGGGCTAACTATGAGTGTTGGGGGTATATCTTCAAAAGTCAGTTAAGCAGTTTGCAATTTAGAGTCTGAGCCTTCACTTCTTAAGAGCCACAAGAAGCTAGGGACATCTCAGGTCTTTTTTCAGACAGCCCTAGGCATGTGCATACCCTACATGGGCATCTAAAAAGTATCTGCCTTCTAGGTTTCCGGGAATATGTCATTTTTTTCAAAACTTGTATGAAATCTTATTTTACAGCTAAATACTGGAGCAAAGTGTGTCTAAAGAAAGTGGAGGGGTTTTTAACCTTAATTTGAATGTTATAGGGAGCTACAGTGGAATTTTAAGAAAAGACAGTTACTATAATGTTTAGCAGAAAAAAATTTGTCAAAGAGGTGGAAAATGATCGAATAGGGACAGAACAGAGGTGGGGAGAACAGGGAGATTAATACAGCAGTAATCTAAGAAAAAGAGGAAGAAATTCTGAGACTAAAATGGTAGCTGGGTGCTTTGACCCACACTGTAATCCCAGTGACTGGAGAGGCTGATGGACGTTCAAGGCCAGCCTTAGCAATTTAAAAAGACCCTGCCTCAAAATAAAAAATAAAGAGGGCTGGAGATGTATCTAAGTAGTAAAGAGCCATGGGTTCAATTCCTGTTAACCATTCCCCTCCAAATATACAGAAGTAACCAGTAGGCACAGGTTTGGGGTGAAATCATAAAGAAATGGATCCAAATAAAATTATTATTAATGAGTAGAGTGTCTTAGAGGAGAAATTCTGTGTAATTGTGTGATTTAAAACACAGCTTTTGCGGGGCACGCCTGCAATCCCAGAGGCTCAGGAGGCTGAGACAGGAGTTCAAAGCCAGCCTCAGCAAGAGCGAGGCGCTAAGCAACTCAGTGAGACCCTGTCTCTAAATAAAAGTACAAAATAGACTGGGGGGAAAAATAGGACTGGCTCAGTGGTCTAGCGCCCCTGAGTTTAATCCCTAGTACCAAAACCAACCAAACAACAACAATAAAAAAACAAAAACAACAGAAACCCCAATAGGTTTTTATCTAGACGCTGTCATTCCTCCTAGCCTTCTATCCATTTGATTAATCACCATTCTTGATTTAGGAGTGCCTTAAACATGCTTGTTTGTTATCTGGAACATATTTGTGAAAAATAGTGGTAACTGCTAAACATGGCGTCCTAAACAGAGACTATATCCAGACCTGGAGTGTCGGGAGAATAAGACAGGAGGATACCAAGTTCGAGGCCAGCTTGAGCAATTTAGTAAGACCAGCTGGGGTGGGGGTGGGGGAGTGGGTAAACTGTACTACTAGAAAGAGGATGATCGGTTCCCTCAGATCCCATCACCCCTTTCCCCTTCCCTGGTCACCAAGTGTAGTCCAAGTGAAGCTCTCCGTTTTTGAAAGCGATGAACCGAGACGGAAGGCGTTCTGGACTCCAAATACTAACAGCTCCATTTCCAAGCTAGGCTGTATGCGCCAGTTCCCAGATCCCGGCCACAGCACCGGAACGCGGAGGTGGACGAGAGAGAGAGAGAGAAAAAGGATATCCGTGGTGGTGCCCGAGCAGCCAAATTCGGTCTAGCACACCCCTCCGCTCCGCCCCCCCCCACAAAGAGACGCAGCCCGAGCCGCCCGCACGGCGCGCTCCTCGCTAGACACCCGACCGACTCCCGCCATCTCCAATTGGCCGTCGGGGGAACGGAAGCCGAAGTAGAGTAGTGAACCCGGAAGTGCTTCACGGCAGGGGCCCGGGCGACTCTTTTGAATGGAATCGGGCTGATTCATCGCCGGTTCGCGGAGCCAGAGCCGGGCGGAGGCTGAACTGTTGCTGCCGTCGCGTCACCGCAAAGGCTAGACAAGGGTCCAGACCGCGACCTCCCACACCGTCCGCCTTCAGGTGAGGCTGAGAAGTCAGGCCCGGCACGTCCGGGGAGGCAGCCGCTCTAGGCCGCCGTCAACCCCGTGCTTTCCTGAGTCACGTTGCCCAGCCAAGTTGCCACCAGAGGCCAGGGCCCTGAGGGAGGATCTCAGGCTCCCTCATACTCTTTGCCAGCCTCTCCGGGTCTCTGGCAGGGTCTGGTCTGGATTTAGTCTCCTTCCTTCAACCGTTTCTGCTTTGCCGAATTCAGCATAGCTTTCAACCTCTTCTCCCTATGCAGATAAAACCCTGTTTATGACCTCTTTGTGCTGTGTCGATAGTTGCTCTTGCTTTGAAAAACTTAAAAGCAGTCAGGGTAGCAAGGGAGAGAGGATAAAACTTTGCTTTATCACTTGTCCCTTTTGTAGACTTTGACCTTTTCCCTTTGCATGTTAGGTTTTAAATTCCCTAGAAAACCCAGAGACCCTCGGAGATGTAATGTCTTCAAAATAAAAGTTATTCTTATTGTGCCTGTAACCTATTTTTTAATGTCGCCCTTATTGCATAGTGGTTGGTGAATTGATTACATTTACTGCTTTCGGTAATCAGTTGTGTGTTACTTCTTGGAACTTAATTTTCTTGGAAACTCAGCTCGGTGTCTGTCAGAAGAATATGTAGAATTTTCGAAAGTCTACATACAAATCCAATGACTGATTGAAAAATTCTAGAAATCAAAATAATCAAACATTAATGCTTGAAAAATTAGCCCAGAAAATTATGGTTTTAGTGTGAAAATGATTTTTGCTTTTACTGTTTACAAAAGTATGTTCTTAATGATGCTGACTTAATGCGAATAAAGCCAACACTGATAATGTTGAAATAAAAAACTGATCACAGTTTCAGGGGAGATAATTAACATTGTGGTGGCCCTTGAAGTAAGGCAACCAAGTAGTTCATTAAAAGTTTACATGTTTTAAACAAATCCCTTGGGTTATTGTGCATTTATAGAGATTAAGATATATAGTGACCTAGAATTAACTACAGTTGTGTTTAGTGAGGTGATATTTATTGGAAGTCTAACTATTGTCTTGAATTTATCCCAGAACAAAATTAAATCTTGCCAAGAGAAGAAAGTTTTCAGTCTTCAGTCTTCTTTTCCCTCCAAGGTGTTGTAAATACTACATTGCCATTCTAATTGAAAAACTGGATTTTTTTTTTTTTTTTTATGAACCTCTGACATGGATTCATCCCATTTTTATTACTTAATATCTGTGTTCGGAACCACTTGTCTGAAAATCAGTAACAAGAAGCAATTGTGCTTTTTTGGTTTTTAATTTTATAAGAATGTTCTTTTCATAAGTCCTTGTTCACCTGTGAAAGCCTTACCTGGGTACTCAATGTGAATTCTTGCTCATGAACTTCTCATATACCTTTGTTGCACTCATTTGACATTTTTAAATTTTTTTTTTTTTTTTTTTTGCAACCATGAATTGAACCCAGGGGCACTTAACTTCTGAGTCACATCCCTAGCCCTTTTTTGTATTTTATTTAGAGATAGGATCTTACTGAGTTTCTTGGGGCCTCCCTAAGTTGCTGAGGGTGGCTTCTCCTGCCTCTGCCTCCCAAGCCGCTGGTATTACAGGCCTGTGCCACCTGGTTGGGCTCATTTGACATTTTATATTCTGCTTTGTGTTATATTGGTGTCCTCATTTGTAAAACAAGTGAATTGGATTGAATAATCTCTTCCAGTTTTAAGATAATAAAAATAACAGCAACATTTATTGGATGTGTAGAAATGTTCCAGGCAGTATATTAGATGACTTTGGATTTAGTCTGACAATGAACTTGCAAGGTGTTTTATAGGTGAGATCTAGAATCTAGAGAAAGGAAACTTGATCCCACAAATATAGTGAGTAGGTGGTGAAGCCTGCATTCCACTATAGGTTGAGTGGTTCCAGAGCCTTTATTACTCTACACTGCTCTCTTTACTTTAAATATTTTTATAATGTAAGCGATTATCAATGATAAATTCTTTCAACACAAGCCACTAAATTTCTTGGGTGCACAAGCTAGTACTCAATAAATGTTTTACTTGAATGCTGTAATTAGACACTTAGATATTTTATTTCTATCCTGATTCTTCTAAACTGGGGAATAATCTTGCTTTCCAAATCCTATTTATATAATTAAGTTTAATGTTAACTCTTTCTAATTTTTCTATTCAAAAATGTCAAGAGTGAGAAAAAGTTTGTAATTACTTTTTACAAATCAGAACAGAGGAATTAGAAATACAGTGAGATCATAAATATGGGGTAGTTTGAAAAGGATTTAACATTAGTCAGGAGAAGTAATAGTATTTAACTGCAGAATGGATTGGGGAGTGAAAAATGAACAATGAATTAGGAAACAGTGATAAGCCTGAATCGGTAAGGATATCATGATTTTGTATTATACACTTTTGAGATACTAGTATCCCTGGTAAAAAAATTTGAAAAGTTAAAAAATCCAAATTAATGTAATTTTGAAGGATCTGCTTTTTAGAGTTATCCATGATTCTATTAATTATCTAGAAATATTTAAATAATTTATTTTAAATCTAGTGTGTACATGATCGAACACTATTAAGTTCTATTAGATATTAACTTGAGAGATTAAGAAAAAGTGAGGAGTCATCAACATTTGACAGTAGTAGTACTTATTTTTGCCAATTAGGAGTCTAAACATAACTGTATATATGATGTTATATTAAGTATAAATACTTTTTCCTATAGTCTTAATATTTTAAATAAAGTTCATCCTATTATGAGTGATCTTTTGGTGGTGCTAGGGATCAAACCCTAAGCCTCTTGTACCCCAGGCACTCTATTACTGATCTGTGTCCCCAGCCTAAGTCCTCAGCTTTTGATAGGTGTAAAAATCTATACTTTTATATTGTTTTTATGTATAAAAATTAAAAATGTTCTGTTTTAGGTTGTGGTGTAACACTTTGTGAATGTCTTTGCTAAATTCTGCAAAATGCAAGTTGTTGTTTCCAATATGATTAATTTAGTACTATGAAACATGCATTGTGTTTTGAAACCCATTAATGGTAAACTTTGTGAGGAAGGTGGGTCTGCACTGGTACCTAAGTTTATTGCATACTGGTGGTGCTAATGATAGCAAGCTAATATTCACTGTGTACTTTTTTTTGTCAGAGATTTTGTTAAAAATTTTTCTAAGTCCATTGTCTTCTTCAATCTTCTAAACAACTCTATGAGATACTGTATTTATTTCCCTTTTGTAGATGAGAGAACTGAGGCTGAGAAAGATGAACAGCGCTAATAAGTATTATAGCCAGTATTTGAATTCTGGCATTCTTAATTGCAGAGTCATAGCTCCAGGGAAAATAGTCATTACCATTTCCCATTTGGGTCCATTGGAGCTTTTTTAGTTTTTGCATCTTTAGGTCATTTTACAAAAATGCAGAAAGGAAGATAAGGGGATGGTGAAAAACAATTATATTAGAAATGTTAATAAAATTACAACAAATACAAATGTTTATTCTGGGTTTTTTTTTTTTTTTTTTGGTACCTAGGATTGAACTCAGGGGTACTTGACCACTGAGCCACATCCCAAGCCCTTTTTTGTACTTTATTTAGAGACAGGGACTCATTGAGTTGCTTAGTGCCTTGCCATTGCTGAGGTTGGCTTTGAACTCAGGATCCTCCTGTCTCAGCCTCCCGAGCCACTGGGATTTCAGGTGTGTGCTACCACGCCTGGCTATTTTCCTGATTTTGAAGGTATATGTATATCCGAAGGCAACATTCTTTGAATGTAATTAACTGCTCATCAGTCATTATGTATAAAACCTGGAACATAGCTGTCTGGTAAAGATCAGTTCTGTGTTCAAATACATCTCTAGTGTTTAGAGTAACTGCTCAGTGCTAGTGTGATTGCCTTGCATGTGTATGCCTTTGGTTTAATCCCCAACACTACCAAAAAACCCCCACAAAAGTTCATATACATCTCTGGTAGCCCTTAGCTTATAAATTCTGGTGTTTCTTCTTACACTTGCTTTACTTTGTGTGTGTGCTAGGGTGTGGGGTATGAAATATACATCACATAAAATTTACCATGTTAATTATTTTTTGTACAGTTTGGTGGCAGTAAGTGTGTTTGCATTGTTGAATTGCCACCATCTATAACCACCATCATCACTACTATCCACCTCTAGAGCTTTTTTATTTTTCCAGTTATAATACATTGACAACTCATAAGGTTGTTCAGTAGAGAATAGCCATCATCTTTGCTCTGTAATTGCAACATTTTTATTTTTAGATTTATAAACACCAGATAGAATTAGTCCAGTGACTTTTTTTTTCTACATTATTTCTTATTTATTCACCTTTGTGTACACTTCAGCGTTTGTCCATGCATAAACTGGCAGCACGACAAAAGATCACAGAGTACATTACCTATCTTTTTAGCAAAACTGGGGCTTACTGCAAAATAGTATGTTGTGAACTCCTTGTTGGATGACTGACTAGATAAGACTGTTATTTTTTTCTTTTATGGTCTTAGAAATCTATTTTTGAGGGGAAATTCACATAAGATTAACTATTTTAAAGTGAGTAGTTTAGTATCATTTAGTTCATTCACCATGTTGTACAATTACAACCTCAATTTAGTTTCAGAACACTTCTATCATTCCTGATAACATTCTGTGTCCATTAAGTAGTTTCTCCATTTTCCTCTTTTCTCCTAAAACCACCATTCTGCGTTTTGTCTCTGTGGATTTATTGAATATTTTATGTAAGTGGGATCACATGATAAGTGACCTTTTATGCCTGTCTTTTTACACACAGCAGAATGTTGAACTTCCACCAAGTTGTAACATGTATTGATTGGTACTTCATTCCTTTCTATAGTGGAATAATATTCCATGTATTCTATTGTATGTATGTAGTAGAATTTGCTTTCCATTGGTCCTTTGGTGCACATTTGGATTATAAGCATCTTTTTTCCCTTCTGTGTTGGGAACCTAGCCAAAGATCTTGAGCATGCCAGTAAGTACTATACTTTTGTTTACATCCCCAGCCCTGTTTCCACCTTTTGGCTATTTAGAATATTATTGCTATAAACACGCATGTACCTGTACTTGTTTTAAGGACCTATTTTCAGTTCTTTGGGGTATATATTCCTAGGAGTGGAATTCGTCTGCCATATGGTAATTCTGTGTTTTAACTTTTGAAAGAACTCTCAAATTGTTCCAGCACTTTTTTGGTTCTTAAGTTTGAGAAAATTTATCTAGGATATTGCCTTCTTAAGATGCATGCCGTTTGAGCTTTACATCCTTGATTCTCGATTGAGAGTGATTTGGATACTTTTTTTTTTTTAATGGTATTTGGGATTGAACCCATGGCACTTTACTGCTGAACTATATCCCTGGACCTTTCTATTTTTAATTTTGAGACAGATTTTTGGTAACTTGTCCAGGCTGGCCTTAAATTTACAGTCCTCCTGCCTCAGCCTCCGTGTCTCTGGAATTATAGGCTATGCCTTCATGTTTGATTTTTTGGAGATATTTTTGATTATCATGACTGTGTGGTCACTACTGTCATATAGTGTGTAGAGAGCCAATGATGCTACCAACCATCCCGTAATTGTGCAAGACAGTTCTCAACAACAAAGAAGTACTGGAATGTCAGTACTTCTGGTTTTTCTTCTTACACTTGCTTTACTTTGTGTGTGTGCTAGGGTGTGGGGTATGAAATATACATCACATAAAATTTATCATGTTAATTATTTTTTGTATAATTTGGTGGCATTAAGTGTGTTTGCATTGTTGAATTGCCACCATCCATAACCACCATCATCACTACCATCCATTTTATTTTTTTAAATATTTACTTTTTAGGTGTAGATGGACACAACACAATGCCTTTATTTTTATGTGGTGCTGAGGATCGAACCCAGGTCCTGCCCATGCTAGGTGAACGCTCTACCGCTGAGCCACAATCCCAGCCCCACCATCCATTTTATTGTCATTAGTGGAAACTTGAGTCTTTTAACCTGTTTCTTTGCCTTCAGTTTGTGTTTCTTTAATAATTATGAACCTTTTTCTCTGTTAATTCTCTTCCCATTGCCATTATGGGTGGAAAATGAAAAATTTTAAATTCTCAGCTGTGTTCAGTGAAACCTAAAAGATTACAAAATGGTGTCTTTAGTCTTTCATCTTTTTGAAAAAGATGAATCAATGGTTTGGGCAAGCAGAACTGAAGGATGATTCAGTGCTATAATTTGTTTCACTGTTGCCTTATTTTATATAGTTCTTACTATTTCATTTTCTTTTTATTTTAAACTTTTTGGGCATGGTCATGAATAATTAAATAGTGAATGAATTCCAAGAGTGCTGAATAGCAAATTTTCAAAGTATAAGAAAAATGACATCACTAAGTTCCCATAATACATCATAGATTTGTAGTGTGTAATTAACATGTTAATTGCATGATCGAATTAATTTTGTTCTGTTTAAAAATATAAATTTTGTTCTTTGAAAGACTGCCAGAAAGACTAAAAGCCATAAAATGTCAGTTCCTAAAGTTAATACACAAAAATGAAATATACAAACAATTTGGATGCAGGGTTAATCACTGTGTTCTGTAGCTGCTTGGGATAATGAATCATTCCGTGCTCTCAGGAAGTGATGATTAAACAATTTTAGGCCTGGGATATAAGTTAATGTTGAATGCTTGCTGAGCATGCATGAGGCCCTGGGTTCTGTGCCTAGCACAAGGGGAATAAATTATTTTCATTTCATTTTTAGGAATTTTGCTTCTTTAAAAGAATTTGGTATAAAAATATCCTCCTTAATTCTCAAAATAATTGTATCTTCTTTTCTTTTTTTAGGAGAGAAAGAAAATAAATACTTGGGAAAAATTATACCTGCCAGAATTAGCAAGAGTTTGAATTAAGAAGAAATTTGTCAAACCTAAGAAATTATAGCTTAACACCTTAAGAGTTATAGTTACTGAACAGGTGAGGTTTAAGAATGTATTTTTCTTTTAAGTATTGCAGGATATGATAAATACTATGAAAATGTGTTATTTTTACCTGACATTAAATTATGAATATGTGATAGATAATCAGATTTTAAAAAGTAGTATTATTTGAAATATTGATCAATATGTTTTATTTCCAGATGTTCATATTTTTATTAAATATGGTCATCCTCCCTTAAATGTTTTAATATGCTGATATTTTTTTTTTCTTGTTTGTTGAGACATCTAATTTTTCTCAAAACACAAATTTGACCTGCCAGATTTTCTTTCCCTCTGCTCCCCACATGGCTCATTTCTATTCATAGCATCTGGAGTCCGTGTAAAGTCTTCAGAAACAACATAGGAGGAATAAACAAACTGAACACATCTGGGAATCAACTTTGGCCTATATTGAATATATTTATTCTAAGTTCATTGTATTTTTCTTTCCAGTGCTTCTTTAATTTTATAAACTTGAAATAATCCAAAAGAATTTCCTTCTTCTTTGGTAATATACTCTAGAGAAAATGTTTTTCATATTTTAAAATATGCAGAATTTTTTTTTTCTTGTCTGCAGGCTTTCAAAAGTACTACACATTGCTTAGTATGGTGGCACATTCCTGTAATCTCAGTTACTCTGGAGCCTGAGGCAGGAGGATCCCAAGTTCAAGCCCAGCTTGGGCAACTTAGTGAGACCCTGTCTCAAAGTAAAATTTTATAAAAAGGGCTGGAGCTGTTGCTGAGTGTTTGCCTACACCTGTGACGTTGCCCTGGGTTTAATCCATAGTACTATACAAACACAAAAGTGCTATGAATTGAATGCTATATTTGAATTGAGGAATTTTAATGAGAATTTAATGGAGATTTTATTGGTAAATGTTATTGGGGGGACAAATTAAAGTTATAAAGAGGAAATTTTGTCTCGACTATCAAGTTTTCTTGACTTTTCAGTTTTGAAAATGAATTTATCTGTTCTGAATCTCACAAACATGCTCAATGGAACAAGCCAGACGCAAAAGTAAATATGAGTCCGGTTATGTGAAATTAAAAACAAGAGAACTAGGGGCGGGGGTTTTGGCTCAGTGGTAGAGCACTTGCCTCTAATGTGTGAGGCCCTGGGTTCTATCCTCAGCACCACATATAAATAAACAAATAAAAGTATTGTGTCCACCTACAACTTTAAAAAATATTAAAAAAACAAAACTTAAACAAACAAAAAAATGAGAACTAATCTGTGTTGAACTAATCTGCTGAAGTTGGAATCCTACCTTTGCAGAGTGATAGAGACTGGAAGGGGGCTTGAGAAACATTTCTGAAGTTTGGTAATGTTCTGTTTCTTTATCTAGATAATAGTTACGTGAGTGTATATATTTTGTGAAGAGTCCAGGGTTGTACCATTTGTGAACCTTTCTATGTGTGGAATTTATGAACAAAGTTTGCAATATTATCATTGTTAAATTAGCAAAATTAAATTGTTACTATTCAACAAACATGATTAGGTGGAAATATAAAGATTATAAGTACATTATTGAGTTTTAGTTTATATGGTAGTTCCAGCTAATGGAACATGGAAAAATGACTAATCCCTTAGCACTTAATTTGAAGTGTAATTTATGGTAAGACCACTTTATAAAGCAAACACTTAGGAAGAAAAGGAATTTTAAGGCATTATAGCAGTTTTCAAGCAGAAAAATTCTTTATTTTCTTTTTCTAAGAACTTATTGTACTGCTACTGATTTTTGTCTTTAAAAAAATAATTTTTTTTTTTTTTTTTTGCAGGCCTGAAAATTAAATCTAGGTCTCCTTCTTTTTGTATACCAGGGTTTTTTTTTTTTTTTTTTTTAATTTAGAGAAAGGGTCTTGCTAAGTTGCTTGGGACTTTGCTAAGTTGCTGAGGCTGGCTTTGAACTCACAATCCTCCTGTCTCAGCCTACTAGCTGCTCAGATTAGAGGTGTACACCACTGTGCCCAGCTCCAAGGCCTTTTAAAAAATAATTTGAAAAAAGAAGATGTATAAATGATGGAAATTAGTTACTGTAATAAAATGTTACTTAGGCCAAGTTTATGCAGATACACCATAGCTATTAAATAACTATGAAAAATCAGTAGTAAATCTTTTTTTTAATATCTGTTTTTTAGTTTTAGGTGGACACAATATCTTTATTTTATTTTATTTTTTATGTGGTGCTGAGGATCGAACCCAGTGCCTCACGCATACCAGGTGAGCGCACTACCACTTGAGCTACATCCCGAGCCCCAGCAGTAAATCTTGATTCAGCAGTGTAGCTATCAGTAAAATTATTTTCTTCCAAAGGTGTTTTTCTTATAGAGTTTTCATAAAGACTCTACAACCAAAAAAATAATTAAATAAAAAAAATAATAATAATGACTTCTATTTGTGTATTTGACATTGGATAAACTTGCAGTTTCTTTATTTCTTCTGTTAATTTCTCAAGTATAGACTTGAGAAAGCTTATCTTCTATATTTTAAACATTGGAAATAAGTCAAATTGATATTTCAAAATTAATCTTCTTTGAATCAATTAACTTTGAATTCAGCAGCTGGATTTCCTTAGTGAAAAAGATGTACATCACTACAACATTTGAAATAACAGAAAATATCTATTTAGGTTCTAGAACACTATCTTAATGCACTTAATGTTTACTCTTTAGTATTTCTTTTAGTATAATGAGTTCATTTTAAAAAGCCTTTGATGCTAATTCAGAGATCCATAATCTGCTCACAATGTCTTTCACATGTAGTTTTGATGATAACTGACAAGCTGTAAGTTAATTAGCACAGAACTTACTAATGAGGATGTTAAAATTTAATTTAAAAGTGAGGATTTTTATTTGTACACTCTGGACAAATTGAAGGAAATTCAATCATACATATGATAAGCATTTCAGGCACTTTTTCCTCCTTCAGGTACTTTATTAGATAACAATAAGAAAATATAATTAACTTAATGATAGCAAAGTTTTGAAAGTATGCTAAGATTGCTTGTCTTTAAAACTGGGGATAACCCAAAACCAAAGCAGTGAAATAAGGTCTGTTAATTAGCATGGAAGACAGCTTCTTGAATTAATATGTGGTGTTAATTAACAGGAAGTCTGATGTTGTGTTGTAATTACCACCAATATTTTTGACATACTGAGTGACTGAAGGTGAATTATATAGATAGCAATTGAGCAAACACTTTTGTGCTTAGAAACGTTTTCCTTTGTTTCTGTTTTCTAGAAATATGGACAGACTTCTTAGACTTGGAGGAGGTATGCCTGGACTGGGCCAGGTTAGTATACAGAATGAGTATTTCTTTGTGTGTAAACTATAAGCTTTTCTGTAGTTATTCAAAGGGAAAGAAACTACCTCAAAGAAAATCACTCAAGAGGTAACTTACTTAATGGTAAGATCACCTTATTAGTGGCTGCTGTATTGCAACACTATAACAAGTGGGAAACTTTTTTACTCATTTAGTGTAATTTTCTCCTGGGAATAAGAATTTTCTCTGTTTTGTTTAAAATATTGGGATATGTGAAATTATAAATTTGCCTTTTAGTAAAGAAAGAACTCAAAACATCTTATTTCCAAATTTACATTGTAAACTTTAGATGTGACACATGAAAAAGTGAACATGGTATACTACCAGTACTAGACAATTGACCCATAGACTGTTTGTATGTAGAGTCTTAACACTGAAAAAATTCCTGCTGTTCATTATTATACCTAGATGAATTGATGAGTAATATCTCTTTTTTCCTTTAAATTTCATATATATATATATATGTATGTGTATGTGTGTGTGTGTGTATACATATATATATGATTTCTTTTACATTTTCGTTAAATAAGTTTTTATATGATCATCTATTTTGTTCCATACTATTAGGAAAATGGCCTGTAGATAGATTTCTATCTCAGGATATTCTGTCCTTAGTTAAAGAAGACTTTCCTAGTTTAAGTTCTGATTATCTTTCTGCTCTTCCATTTCCCTAATGTTAATTGACAGAAAAAATGATATGTATTGTTCCTTTTCTGAGACTTTTAAGTAATTATTGTTTTATGACCAAATGTTAGAAATGTTTATAACATAACTTTATAGTCCTTTTAGTTACCAACTTTCTCTCCTTTCTGTATCACTAATTGATGCCTTTGTCTTCCTTCATTCCAAGTGAGGTATGTTTACTGTAAGAAACAATTTTATTTGAGACTTAATGAAATTTTCTGTTTTAGAATCACTTGTACAGAATCTTTGATTAGGTCTGTTCATCTTTCATCTTTAGAAAGACGAAATCTTTTTGTGAGTCTATATTCTGTGCTTGAATAGACTTTAGTTATATTGTTTACTTTTGTTAGTTTAAATATTCCCTCTCTCTATCTCTCTTTTTTTTTTTTTTTTTTTTTGCTGTCAGCCAATTTCTTCATGAGTCTTCATTTTTGTAATCCATTCTTTGGCACATAAAAATGTCAGACATGAGCTGAAGTGACATGTAGATACTGCAAATTTACCTTCAAATTATAGATAAAGATAATGCTTTTAGTAAAATTCTTAACAGAAGATGCAGCATATTTAAATAACCAAATAACTTTCCTTAAGTATTAAATGCAATAAATTATAAATCTATGCTGGAAAATCCTGGACATGAAGTAATGGCTACAGATTAAGTGATATTGTATCTGGATGACCATTGCAAATCTTTGTTATTAAATGGAAAACGAAATGGTTGTTCCATAATTTTTTATTAGTTTCTGATTATTTTAATTAGCCCTTATAATCCTTAGTTTGTATTCTTATTGAAACTTACAAATATGTTGCTTAAGAACTTGTCATTTCATGTATGTATTTCATCTCCCCAATTAGATGACAAGCTCTCAAAAGAATAATTTGTGGAGTTCTTATATTTGTGGTATCTCCCTTATCAAAAATAGATAATCAATTTTTTCCCTAAAATTTGATTTTACTCTTGTAGGACTAACTTGACAAATACTTAGTTTTACTTCTGTAACATGAAATGTTAAGTGTATTGTTTTTGAATAAACAGAAATGAAATATTAAGTGTATTGTTAATAAGTCAAAGATCTTTATTTTATTTTGGTGATGGTGATTGATCACAGGCTTCATAATGCTCTATCATAGACCCCCTAGCTCTTAAGAACTCAAAGATCTTTGAATTACTAATAGCTTTTTTTTTTTTTCCCATTAGGTAAAGTGTAACAAACAATTGTAGGAGAAAAGGAGACACAGGTTGCTCTAACTCTTCAAAAATCAGTGGGCAATGTTATTGTCTTGCCATTTAAAGGAAAAGGTAAAACTGTCACACATAGGGACAAGTTGCCTGTCAGAGTCCCCCACACCTGTAATCCTGGCAAATTGGGAGGCTGAGGCAGGAGGATTGCAAGTTCAAGACCATCCTCAGCAACTTGGAGAGGCCTTAAGCAACTTAATGAGACCCTGTCTCAAAATAAAAAATAAAAAGGGTCAGGGATATAGTTCAGTGTTTAAGTGCCCCTGGGTTCAGTCTCCAGTACCAAAAGATAATAGCAACAACAGCAAAAACATTAGAAACAAGTGAAGAGCTGTGGGTGTATGTAGCTCAGTGGTATGGCGCTTGCTTAGCATGCACAAGGCCCTAAGTTTAATCTCCAGTACCAGGAAAATAAAAATGGGATCAAGTTAGTTGCTAAATTTGCAGGTATTTCCCTTTCCCATTGTTGTCCTCTTTTTTTATATTTGGAGACAGTGTCTTATACTGTGTTGCCCATGCCTCCTTAGTGGTTTTGATACTCCCCCGCTCTTCTCTATTCTTTTGATAATCAGCTTACAGAACTCAAAGAAGGTGCTGTGCTTATGATTACAGTTTGAGCCAAATAAAAAAGATCCAGAACACGGAAGATGTGGGGGGAAATGCAGAGCTTCTCTGCCTTTTCCTTTTATAAGGGTCTGTTGTGCTCTCTGAACATCGATGTGTTCACCAGTCAGTTATGCAACCATCATGCCTGACTCTTTAGGTGGCCCCTTTAAAACATGGGACAAGATAGGAGAATAGGTAAGGGCCTCATATGATTTCTTTGAGAGTTCCTTTTGGTTATTAAACTATAAGAGAGTTGAATAGCCTTTTTTACCATTTCAAGAATTATTTCCTTGATGAAAGTACAAGATGCACACAAGATGCATGTATATTATATGAGTAAATGGAATCATTATCTGTATGAATAACCTAAGTTTGAGGAGTGAAATGTCCAAGGCTGTTTTTTTTTTAAATAATAGTTGCTACAGTCACTACTTGATAAGCTTAAAAACATTTGTTTCATGTCATTTGGGAATTCTGCAGTAGAGTATAGTTCTCCAGGTAATCAGGAGATAACATTAGGCTTTTGCAAATTAAAGATTTCGTCCTCCACAAAATTGCCCTTACCTCAGATACCAGCAGCATTTGAGATGTCTTCATGCCATCCACAGTTTTGACTAACAGGCTATAAATTTGTAGGTGAACCCTCCCCCACTCTTTTGATGATCAAGAACAGCTTACAGAACTAAAAGAAAGTGCTGTGCTTATGATTACAGTTTCAGCCAAATACAAAAGATCCAAAACACAGAAGGTCTGGGGGGAAATGCAGAGCTTCTCTGCCTTTTCTTTCTGTTATCAGGGTCTGTTGCCCTCTCTAAACATGGATGTGTTCACTAGTCAGGAAGTACCACCTGCTTTTGTGGAGCCTTAGTATCCAAAGTTTTTTTGGTTTTGTACCAAGGATTGAACTCGGGGGGAGGAGGATGGGTGGCATCCGACCACTGAAGGGCATTCTCAGCCCTATTTTGTATTTTATTTAGAGACTGGGTCTCACTCAGTTGCTTAGCCCATGGTTTTGATACGGTTGGCTTTGAACTTGCAAACCTCCTGCCTCAGCCTCCCAAGCCACTGGGATTACAGTGTGCACCACCATGCCCAGCTTAGTATTCAAAGTTTTTATTGGGACCTAATTACATGGGCATGGCTGATTAAATCATTGACTGTGATAGAGGTCAGTATCCAGATTTTTTTCTCTCCTAAGAAATTGGGCCTGTTTCAGGCCTTTAAATCACTAACCACCTCCATCCTGAGACACCTAAGGGCCCAGAGTGAATCATTCATTAGCATAACAAACATACCATTATTAAGGAAATTCCAAAGGTTTTTGAGGTCTTGGGCCCAGAACCCAGAGTAAGGATTGGATAATTTATACCACAAAAACTTTTGCTGTTAGTCTTGACTCCATTATTTGTGTGGAAGTCATTCAGTATCTTTTTGAAATTTTCTTAGGCAAGCGCTCTGCCACTAAGCCACAACCCCAATCCTTTTTCTTTCTTTTTTTTTTTTTCAAAGTACCAGAGATTGAACCCAGAGGCACTTTACCACTGAGCTACATCCTCAGCCCTTTGTAATTTTTATTTAGAGACAGGGTCTCACTAAGTTGCTTAGGGCCTCGCTAATTTCCTGAGGCTGGCTTTGAACTTGGAACTTGGGTTCCTCCTGCCTCAGCCTCCCAAGTTACCGAGATTATAGGCTTGTATCACCATGTCTAGTTTGTTTGAATTTTTCTTATGTCCTTATTTGGTGCTTGCTTGCTCATTGATTGATTGATTGGCTTTGGGATTGGGGATTGAGCCTCCTGCATGGTGGAAAAACACTACCACCAAGCACAGCTAGTTTAATACCTTTAATATAATGCAGTGATATAGTAAGAAGACATTTGGGATCTTCTCTTTGTGCTAATTTGTCACGTTTATTTTAAATGGAGGAATTAATAAAATACAGAAATATCAGCATTATAATCATAGTTGATACTGAAATTTCATTGTACTTGAGGTTACTTGGCCTTGATTGTTTTATTTGGGCACTATTATTGGGCCAGAAGATAAAATGGAACTTAAATAATCAAAGTCTCTATTCATTCTGGTCTCTTGGTTTTCTTTGAAAAGGAGGTGGCCTGTCTCTTTTCCAGTGTTAATCCTTTCATATCCTCTAGTCCTATCCTCATAAAACCTTGCTTATCTCCACTGATCCTTGCCTAAAATAATAAAACTCCAGGGAATCCTGCTTGTCAGAAGAGTGCTGTCATTGATAGAGAGAAACACAAATTTATAACCACATTTGTGTCTTTCCACAGGGTCAGAATTTATTGACTAATGATAAATTCATAGGCTATACCACTTTCATCAGTGGCAGTTCGCTGAATACTTGTGGGTCACCTGATAGTCATAAGCCTGACAATCACAGGTTCTTTTATTCCAGTCTTAATCTATAATATCTATAACAAGTCCCACACCATACTTTACACAACTACATATATAGGTTACAGAAAGGCAAAGAAAGTGTTCAGAAGGCTGAACTAAGCCAACAGCAAGAGAGCAGGTATGGATTCAGAGTCACTGTAGGTGGTCTGATAAGATTATGAACCAGCCAGCTGAAGAACTTATTCAGGACTTCAGGGCATAGACCTGTCAAAGAAAAGGAAATTGTTCTAGTCCAAGGTTTAGATCTTGGACAGTTTTACAGTGTTAGCTTAGAGTGGGACCTTGATGATTGTTACATGCAAGAGTAACCACACTTTGCAAATGATCAAGGACAGAAATTTAGAGGTTTCTTGCTATAGCGATTTTCCTGGACAAGACTTGTGATGAGTGACCAGGTGATGGGGTCAATATGCTGCTATGTCTAGTCTTGGTATGCCTCTCCTTTTATGGGTCCCAAGGGGTTGCATCATTTGATGGATCTGGTTTTTCCTATATGAGTTTGATATGCCCATGTATCCATGTGCTTCTGATTAATTTGATAAGTGGGTGATCATTCTTACTAGCATGGTGATTTATCAGTTCATACCTTGCAGTTGTTTCTGGCAGATGGTGGTGATTTTCTTATATAAACAAGGTGTGGAATCATTCCACTTCAGTCCTTAAACTCAAAATGGAGTGACTTAAAGCAAACTAGTGCTTTGCAAAATGTAGTAACAAAAGTTTAGGCACAGTCTGAAAACTGTTGTTTTATATATATCATGGAGTAACTCACCACAGCCTGCTTTCCACACTTTCTTTTTTTTTTTTTTTTTTTTTAAATATTTATTTATTTATTTTAGTTTTCGGCGGACACAACATCTTTGTTTGTATGTGGTGCTGAGGATCGAACCCGGGCCGCACGTATGCCAGGCGAGCGTGCTACCGCTTGAGCCACATCCCTAGCCCTCCACACTTTCATTAATTTTTTTTTCCTATTTATTTCTAGGTATCTTGCAATAACTTAAACTCACATACACTAATTCCTTACCTCCATTCACTCTCATGAAACTCCTCCTCTTTTTTTTTTCTTTCTAGTTAATGGTGTTTTTTTTAATTGTTGGTACTATTGTTAAATGCTGACCCCACAACTTCTGCAATAGGTGGCACATAGTTTCATAGCTGTCCAAGTAGACACTGGAAATTTATCATGAAGTTGTACATCTGTTGCTGACATTAGGACCACTCCAGGTTCCCTAGTAAGTGTGGCCAAAAGAAATTGGGACACTTCATAATCACAGAGTACAAATCCTGGAGCTAGGAAATACTCACATCTCAACCAAGCAACAGTAAATCTCACTGCATACACAACTGTTCCACTTGAGCCCTAAAGTTCTCCAAATCAAATACTCAAGGAGACAAAAGCTCCAAATCTAAAACAAGGACCCAAGGAGGAATAGAGAGGGACCTCAGGTTGAACCACTTAGCTTCTATGAACATAGCATAAAGAGAAGTTCTAAAAATATAAATACCCACAAAATGACACATATAGAAAAGAGGTAAGAAATTCATCCCAATTGATTCTCAAGTCCAAGACCTCCCAAATCATGAAGAAACAGGCAAATGTCTCCCCCAAATTCACAATTCCGTAATAAAGATCCTTCTGATAATGATGTGGACAAAATCCCAGAGAAGGATTATAAAAATCTGATTAAGGTTTGATGAACTAAAAAAAGATATAAGGAAGGAATTAAGAGAGAAAAATACAGGAGATGATGAAAGACTCCTTTAATAAAGACATAGAAACAATGAAAAGACACCAAGCAGAACTCCTAGAAATCAAAGAAATAATTAAATTAAAAATTCATCACTAACAGATTGGACTACATAGTGCATAGAAAACAGAACTTCAGTCCTGGAAGATAGTGTGTATAATCTTGAGTACACAGAATCCAATAAAGGGGAAAATTATAGAACGTGCAGAATACACAAAAACTCTGGAAGAACATTAAAAGGCCAAACTTGAATCAGTGAGTTTAAGAGAGAGCCTACAGAATG